GCAGGAGGACTTTAGGAGGTTTAGTTTCGCAAACAGTATGGTGCAAGTGTTTTTGGATTGAAGCTGGTAGCCAGTGTTTCAGTTAACTTTCAACTTGTGTTGGACTGTGGCTTTATAGGGATAGAATTATTCAATGTCACTCACTCTACCACCCTGGTTCAAAAATCCAATGTTGGACAAACATTTCAACAACTACTAGATGAACAGCCATAAAATTTGATGAATACATCCATGGTCCCCAGAGTATGATTATAATGACTTTGGTGAGTCTTTCTCTGGCACAATCAGCAGGTTGAAATAATGTACAGATATTTATGGATCCCTAACACTGTGGTGCCACCTCACAGCAAGAGGGTTCCTGGTTTGAACTCCCCAGGGTGGGGGAGCCGCTCTGTGTGAAGTTTGCATGTTCCCCCCGTGTCAGTGTGGGTTATGTTCGGGTACTCCGGCTTCCTCCCACAGTCCAGTGGATAATTCTTGGAAAATAAAGTTTCTTTTCTTATAGAAATGAATACCCCCTGAAAGACTGTAATCACACATTTCCCAATTAACACAGGAACCTCACAGCTGTTTTAACTGGCGAGAACCTGTTGTGGTAACTGGATCTCACACCAGCTGCTTCCAGGACGTGTAGTTTTTATCCTCTGTTGGACTTAAATTTAGTACATTGTTATATAATCTGTTGGAAGGTGTTGAGACATTTACCTTGTCCCTGTTACACTGTCAGTTTGATTAATTTGATTTTAACCACAGCGGAAATTTGACTTCAGCCATTGGTTTAAAAACATAAATTGACATGTTTGTCTTTAATGCTGACAAAAAGAGCAGGATATCATTTTAAGAATTAAGAAACCAGGACCCTTAGAGTGATACCAATACCAATAGAGTACTTAATCCATTTCATTCTTGTAAACATGATATCTCAAAAACACCATGAGAACATTCACTTCGAGTCAAGGATGGTCTGCTTAGAATTTGGTGGTCAAAGGGCAAGGTCACTATGACCTCGTCCATCGCATTCTTGTGAATGCGATGTCTCAAGAACACCTGGTGGGAATTTTTTTTCAAATTTGGCACAAACATCCACTTGGAATGTACAGATTAGAATTTGGTGGTTGAAGGTCAAAGGTCAAGATCACATTGACCTCACAATACACGTTTTTTGGCCATAATTCAGTATTCATACGCTAATTACAACAAAATTTCACACAAAAGTCTAACAGGATAAAATGATACAGTGATGACATTTTATATCCACGAGGTCAGAGGTCAGCTTCACTGTGATAATCATAATGTTCAGCAAAAACACTTTGCCTGCCATTACTTACTTACTTATGTCATAACTCAGGAACAGAAGGAGACATTTGGTCAGATACTGAAATGATGACTCTAATCTTGGGTGTCCACCTTGAAACTGTGTTGATTTTAAAGATCTTTTGTGCTGCCGGGGGGAAGATGTTTATGAAGCATCCATGTTTTCACAGACATGGACGTAAACTATAACTACAACTTTATGGGTTTGCAAATTTATTTGTATGTCTCCATCAGCTGGTGGGCCATCAAGAAAAGCGACACAATGACGTCAGTTTGTTAGCTGGGGGCAAAACACGACTCTCCACCACAGGGCTGTAGGCTACAAAGGAGTCTTAAAATGTCGTCTTGTTGTGTTATTGGGAGCCAGAATAGAAGGAGTCATGACTCAAAACTTACATTTTATCACATACCAGCCGCCACTGCCCATCAACAAAAACAAAGACAGCTATGGTTAAATGAGATAAGACGAAAGGATTGGACGGAGGCGATCATCAAAAATGCTCACATGTGCAGCGCACACTTCATATCAGGTTAGGGAAAAAGTATTTCCTGTTGTAGGGATGGATAACGTTATGTGTATTAAAGGTTATCATGTCCACATAATCAGAACTTGGGGAGGTATTAATTATTATTAAATACTGATTATTAAATTATTAATAATAATTATTAAGAGGATTTTTCTGTTATGCTATCTTTTAAGTGCTTTAGCTAAAGCTAGCTTTGATAGCAAAACAAACCAGAGGAAACCGTTCAAGTGTCGTCCTCCTTTGTAAGATTGGCATAGTAATCAACCACAAGGCTTCTTGTGACATCATCCATCCACTGAGTGAGAGCATACGGGTCGGCCAGTCTGGTCCCGTTGGTCAGTGTTTACTTATTTCAAGTAACATTGTCGGTCCTGTAGAGTGATTGACCTGACATGGTTTGTTCGTAAATTCAGTCTGACGCTCTACACTAAAATGAGAGCCCTGCTGGTTGAAGAAACAGAGCATTATTTTTATATGAATTTAGGAATAGTTAAGTTAAACGCACATTAACTGGGCACGGTGCTCTGCTGCTCTGTCTCCTCAGACAGAGTGCCCAGACTGCGGTCTGCCACTCTGAGAGTGCAGTTCTCTGGACAACCGAATGGTACATTCGGATAAGGCTCCGAATTTACGAACAGTCCAGTTTGTGCTAGAGTGCGCTCCGACACTCAGCATGAGTATTTCTGAACGCACCACTGAGTATTTCTGGACATCTTCCTCCATTGTCTAAAACAAGCCAGCAGAATGTGCTTGCTAGTGCTAGCTAATGTCTGTGGAGAATTGTTTTGGTTCCAGCTAAGCCCTGCCCACCAAATACAAAAAGTTACTCTGGTTTCAAAAAGGATCAAAAGCAGGTTTAATTTGACTAATGAAGTTTGGATTTACTACTTGGTATTAAGTAATTTTAGTCAATACCTCAAAGGGTATCAAGTACCGATAACCAGTTCTAGTGACAAATTAATATTTGTTTTATCTCCGTCAGAGTAGTACAGACATTTACCTTTTATCACCTGCAACATGTTTCAACCTGATAAAGGAAACCCCCAATGAAAAAACTTCTTCTGCCTCACACCCTTATCTATTTATCGCACATGACCTACACATGAGCCACATGTGAGCCTTTTATAGCTGCCGTTTGTGAAGTGAGCACGAGGGTAGAGAGTGGAGCTGCAACAGGAGGTGCTTTTTGGGGACCCTCGAGGTGGAGAGGAAAGTTTCATACCTCACCAGGTGGCCCAGAATTCCCAGCAGTACCACAGCATGGAAAGCACTTTCACGTTCCTATTCCCATCTACCACCTGTCTATTTAGTCATCTCGCCAGTTTTATTGTGGGCTTCTTAATTTAGACGATGACATTTGCATTGGACTGGCTTTTTACTTGGACTAAATTTTATCAATGACCCTCAACCAGTAGAATTCTAAGCCTCCAAATAAACCTCTTCAATCCCTCTCTTAGTCAAGTCAAATGTTAATACTATTTTTAATGCAGAGTCACTGCATCAGTAATTACTTGTTGACCATCTGCACATAACAATAAGTCAAGTCACTTTACTTGTAAAGCACATTTAAAGACAACACAAGTTGTCGCAGTTATAAAATATTGACTGAGCAACTGCCAACAGCTTTAGGTCAGATAATCTCAGAGTACTGGAGGAGATTATAAAGAGAAACCAGAGCGTGGATACAATTCTTTCCAGGTTATGGACAGAATAGGGAATATAATTTAGTAATAAGGAGTCTGTATTAGTCTGTGTTAGTCATAAACACTAAAGCCTCGTTTCCACCAAGCCGTTTAGTATGGTTCAGTTCGGTTCAGTACGGTTCAGTTTGGTTCAGTTTGATGCACATTTTTTTTGTTTCCACTGTGAAAAGTTGTGGACTGTACCAATGGAACTGTTCCTGACTGTCCCCATTTTTGGTCCCCCCTCTGTTGGGGTACCTAGCACACAGATCTGGTACTAAAAGGTGGAGCTGTGAACACTGCAGTCTGTTGATTGGTCAATAGCGTACAGTCACTCTGCCCAGGGCTGAGCTGTGGCTGGTTTTGAAGCTCATGTAACCACTGTTCATACCGTGGCAAGTCTTACACGCATTAGTAAACTGTAGCTATAAAATGAAAGGATGTTTTGCTGCCTCTCACAGCAGCTGTTGTCTGAGAAAATAATAACTTAATTCACTGGGCCGACTGCTGACAGCTTTTAAGGTGGAACGTTTACTTGTAATGTTACTCAATGCACAAGTTGATGACGTGAATAAATCAACACACCTAAAATTTCAATATGACAACTTTGCCCATTCTATTAGTTTTTATTGTCTCTCTTGGATGCCATACACTTAAAGTAATGACTGGATCTTCAAGCGTTTACAAGTACATAATAATTTCGGTTTTATTATATCAAGGATTTATTATATCTCTGTCAAGGAAAATTATATTGAGACATTTAGCATTATTGCCTTAGATAAAGCTGAGTATCATCAGCATAGCAACATTTACTTCATTATGTATACTTATCAAATAATTGCTTTTTCGATTAACAGATTGATCATCTTGTCTCTAAAGTCACAAGTAATAGTGAAAAAAAGCCTGTAACATGTTTCCAGTGCTCAGTGTGATGTCTTTAAAGTACTTAAATTGACTGAATTAAACAGAGTAAAGCGGCACAGTCCAGATGCTGGAATGAGCAAATGTTTGGTGTTTTTGCTTGATTATATAATTCAATGATCATAAGAATTGTTGTTGATTAATTATTTTTTTGATTGACTGACCAAATAATTGATAGATTGCTTGCCCACTTGCTAATGCTTGCGTTTCTGGATATGTAGATAAGCAATTATTAGTGTATATTATTAGCTCAGTGTTGTTTTTACAGCTTGATTCTGCTGCCTCACACTGGCCAAAAATGTTAATGCAGTTTTAAATGACAAAATGATCTCGAAGAATGATCATGTGCCCTCACTGGTCAAACAAAGACGGACCAGCAGAACTTTGTTTCAGGTTTAGACTAAAAAAATACCTAAATAAGGTTAGAGAAACATTTTCTTTATTGATAACAAAGCCAGTCTGAAACCACCTGACCTACGTGACCAGACTTTTAGTGGTGGCATACACTGTCGAGGTGAGGATGACTAACATTTCTTCTGTCTCTCTTATCTTGTAGCTGGGAGATCATTGACTCAGGCCAGGACAGCCGGTCCGGGGCTGGACCTCAGCTCAGCGACTCCCTCAAACTCTTCCTCCAAGAGACGTCGGCTTTCAAACAGCAAAACCCCGGCAAGGTAAGGCAGAGTGGGCTGATGATCCAAAGCAGCCTGAGCTGTCTTTACTGAGTTCCCACAGTAGAGCAGAGAAGCATGTTGTTTTGCCCATTCAGATAAAATATTTGCACAATGTAACTTTAACTTTTCCTATAAAAAAGTAACCAATACTTATTGTATACTTACAGTAACTGACAACAGATAAAACTATGTCAGTACAATTTTATTGTCTTTGTGTTTTTGTTTTCTGTTTCTTCTAGTTTTGCCTGCTGGTTTGCAGTTTGTGCACCTTCTTCGCTGTCTTAGGACGCTACATTCCAGGGATTGTTATCTCATATATTTTAGGTGAGTAAACTAAAATTTGGCACATGAAAAGATCATTTCTATCAAGCTTTATATGCTTAGACTACCACATCCAGTACAGCTAGAGGGTGGCTGCATGTTTGTTATCCTGGTTTTGGTTTGGTTGAGCTCTAGTGGAAGATGCAAGCTTTGCACAATTTAGCCTCTCTATGCTCATTACATGCTGCGCTACTAGCTGGAAGAAAATCTTTCACTGATATTCAGATCATTTCTTTTTGGTCAGCAGTGGTAACACATTGGTAAATACAAAAGAAACAGGCAGAAGTACAACGAGCTAAGCAGTGTACTACCGTGGACGGGGGCAGCAGCAAAACATTTTAAGTGTACGCTGTATTAAGAATATTTTCACCGCTTTACCTTACCCAGACAGCCCCTTCTGCTAGGGAAGCCATTTACGGCTTTACTTCCCCATGCTCTCATCAAAGCCACAAGACTCCACTGACTAAAACATTAATTTTAGCTTTGTGAACATGGAAGTTGCTTCTGCCAGAGTTTATGCCTCTGCTCCGGCGACAGCCGTGGCAGGAGGCATTATATTTTCAGGTTGTCCGTCCAATGCTTGTGAACATGATATCTCAAGAACTCCTCATAAGAAATGCCTCAAATTTGGCGCAAATGTCCACTTGGATTTAACAATGAGCAGATTAGTTTTTGATGTTTGTAGGTCTAAGGTCAAGGTCATTGTGACCTTGTCTGTCTCATTCTTGTGAACGTGATATCTCAAGACCACCTTAAGGGAATTTCTTCACATATTTATGTCTTGACTTCTCCCTGCAGTGCTGGGCGTTTTCCTGTGGCCTCTGATTTCATCTCACGAGGTTGGTTTGTGGCTGGAGCCAGTTCTGCAGAAGCTGGACTTTGGCATCGGGGAGTTCCTTCAGAAAATCAAAGAGAACCATGGTAACTATGACACATTTCAATATGTTATGTGTTTTCATTTGTTGTCTTGATAACATTTGTAGGCATCACAACCTAGTGAAAGAGTTTTGCTCTTTGTTTCTTTCAAATGTAAAATGTAAAATACTTGAAACAACAGAGTGTAGAGCAGCAAATGGAAATAAAGTACAAATACCCACACATTATTTAGTCATGCCCTTATAAAACTATAGCTTCTCATCTACTTTTTGATTACAAAATCACCACCTCATTCATGTTTTCTTCCTTTCAGAGAAGAGGATCATGCAAGCTCAGACTGAGAAAGAAGGCATCGAGTCGGACCTTTCTTCCATGTTTCCCAAGGTTGGCTGATCAGCTCATCTCGATTTAATGATGCTTCTGTTGACTGACAGGATCCAGTGAAACCTAATTGAAATTCAGTTCACATGATCCGCATCAGGCCTGTGCCAAAGTGAACGCTAAAAGCTTTTGCTATTCAAGCCAAACACCTTATTACAGATTACATTCACTGACTGTGCCTCTCATGAAAGTCTCAACATGGGATACTTTATATCACACCTGTATGAATAAAGTGGAGATGATGCAGAGGGATGAGTCATCACACTAACAGGACTGTAGGTTAAGAGTGGAGACATGGACACTGGATTTGACTGCTGTGAGAATTAACTTACGTGAGACTGGACTCTCAAGTTGACTTGAGACTGGAAAGCAAAGGTGGATGGATTTTGATCACAACTGAACTAATTCCAGAAAGTTTCCAGTAAGCAACTTATTATCATAGAACGGTTCCTATGATATCCTCCAAATTTGTGTCCCATGAATAATTTTACGTCCTCAATACAGATTCATGCTTGTGAGTCAGCTCTATGCTGAGCCTTCGCCACTGTGAGCATTTATACTTGTGTGGTGGTGTGTCTGTGTCACTCTGCAGTTACACCTCCAAAACACTAGTTGGCAGCGGGGTTTGTGTGAAGTGCTGTAAAGTTGAGTTGATTCAAAACACACATTAAACACACATTAAACATGGCTTAATAGAGACAATTTCAAACACAAGTACACAAATCAGTTTCATTATAACTCACAGCATTCACAGACAAAGCACTTGTCTTTCGCTGGACACATAATACAACACGCTAATGTTTTTAGCACAGGCCTATGGCATTTTACATTGTATAAATTAGCCTAGCAGCTAGTGGACTTTTCATCCACTTAAATGAAACCAGGAACAACAGCAACATTTAACAAAGATAAAGTTACAAAATTAGCCTCCATAACCCTCACAAGTTTCACCGACAAAACAACTGTCTTATACTAAACACATTTCCCAAACAAATATAACATGCTAACATTATTTGCACAAGCCTGTAGCATTTTACATTGTATAAATTAGCCTAGCAACTAGCGGAGATTTCCTCTGCTCATATGAAGCCAGGATAAATCACACAAAGGACATAAAATGCTATTTTTGTGGAGGCTTTACTGTCTTCACAATTTATTGTTTCTTATCTGTGAAATTAAAGTAAATAAAATCTTTGTTTCTACTGAGGGAAATGGTTTCAGCTTACAGAAGCAGACAGGGGGTCTGTGTCACCGCGAGGTATAATTAAATTTTTGGGATGGTGCACATCAGGCTACGCCGTAGGTATGGCGTCAATTCGGCGCAGAAGTATAAATTCCACTTCAATGTACAGTTATGTAATTAACATAAAGTTATGGAGATGAAGTTTAGAAAAACAAACATGGTGAGGACGAACCTTAAAATGACTCAAAGTTCACACGACTCCGAACATGCGACTCCAGGAGAAAGTCCTGGATGAAAGTCTGTTTTTTTATGACCCATCCATCACCCCAACCTGCCCCCTTACAAGCGCTCAGGACTGCTTCCTTGTTTACTGCCGCCAGCGCATTGGTCACATGATCGCAGCCTTTTAAAATATGTGGGATATGTACGAATTTGGATGCATTGCTTTTCGTAGGAAAACATACAAAATATTTGTGAGAACAGCCTTCAGTAAGTGGGCCTTGTACTCAGTGCAATTTTATCTATCAAACTGCTATTTCCAAAGTCAATAATGAACCTTCAAGCTCAAAACATTTTGTGTATTAAAAGGAAAAATCCTGGAACAATTAAAAATCAACAATACAACACATTGCCACACACTTTGACAAGAAAAAAAGGTTCAAATGTTCTATATAAACTTTTTCTGTATCCTGTTGCCTTCAAGTACCAATCAAGTATAGTGCCCACGGCAGACGTCATGTGGCATGTAGATATATTTTATCCTCATCTCCATAAACTATCGGTAATGTTGCAATCAGATTAGATTTGAAAGCAGCAATTGTTGTTGGTTGGTGCTGATTTAAGTCCCATTCTTTTCCTTATTGCCTCTTTTTTCATCAACATTAGCACCATGATGTAAGAGAAACATTTGACATACACATTTATTGCTGTTTTACATTTCTGTAGTTGTTTAGATTTGCCAGCTAACTTATTTTTCCATCAGAAAATAGGATTTTCTTATCATTGCTCCACCCATTCAGGTTTGAGTCTGTCAATTAATCAGATTATTTCTGCCACCAGATGACGTTTGTCTGTGTTTTTTACTCTGAAATCTGACGTTTCCTTGTCTTTCTCTCCTACAGCTCGACTCCACTGTGTGTAAGGAAATGTCTGTGTCAGACACAGAGGTGTCTGATGTGACGTGGACGGACAACGGTACTTTCAACCTGTCGGAAGGACACACACCACAGACTGAGAACTCAGAGGGTATGTCAGCTCCACACTGTCTTACAGATTGACACATGTTTTTTAAAAAATAAAGATGTCTACAATAGAAGCATATAGGGATGGGCATCACTAAACTTTAAACAATGCTAGTACCTGTATGAATTACTGTTATAAACTATAACATAACCGAGGTGGACGGGGTAACAGGAGATGAACTACAAGCTAGGAGGTTGAAAATGGTGCATTTTGCTGCCTGTATGTGATGCACTTTCACTAGATGTTTGGAATGATTGCTCGTGTTTCTGCCCTCACATGCTTAGAGTTGTTAAGCTTTAGGCAACAAGCCAGTCAGCATCACCTCTTGTGAAGTAAAACCAAACTTGAGAGCATTTTGCTTTCTCTGCCGTTGTCCCTGAAAGCAGGGCCTCTGTTTGAGCCATAATGTGGTTTTGTTTGTTTATTCTATCCTCATTTACACAAGATAAATATAAATATACACATGCAGTTATGAAGCTGCACACTGTAAATATTTTTTGCTTGCTTCCTTGTTGATGTCTCTCTGTTTTACAATGTTACCACGAGTCATTTCTTTTTACCTCACAGACCTCGACAGAGAAGAAGCGTTCACTGGAGGCCTTCCAGAATTCCCCTCACTTGACAATGGCACAACGACCAATGGCGACGATGACGATGACTTCAGCCTCGGCCTTTCCTCGCCTCCACCTCAGCCCCAGCAGCCAATCAAATCCAAGCATATGCCCTCTCCTCACAAAGACCAAACCACCGACAAAGCCCTCGAATTAGTCAACCAGATGGCGGGCGACGTCATCGCCGCAGCTGTCACAGCCGCCATCCAGGAGAGGATAGAAGCAGCGGTCGGCTTCAAGGCGCTGAGCAAAGGCTCGGAGCGGTCAAGACTCCCACAATCCACCAGGCTGCTGGAGCTGGCCGAGGAGTCGGACAGCGAGGTGGAGGACTTTGAGCTGCTGGACCAGTCGGAGCTGGAGCAACTGGAGGGGGAGCTGGGGTTGGTAGAGGAGAAGGAGGCCAAAGAGGAGTCACAGGCCAAGAGTGACAAGCCCGCCTCTTCTGGATTCTTCTCCAAATTACTGAGACGCCAGTGATTGATGAAAGTATGGTCGGCCTGGGAGGAGGACGGGTTACAGAGGACATGTGGAGGGGAAGGGGGGGTGTTCTGGTCACAGAGGACTGTTGGAGGTTATGAGAAAAAATATTTCCATTTATCTTTTCCTGTAGAGCTAACATCAACATTTTAGAACCGGTCAGTTTGTCAGATATGGAGGTAAAGTCACTATAATCAGAATCATCATAGTGCAATGCCAAAATCAGACTACACGATATCAGCCAGATAAAGTCAGGCATGGGGACAAAAGTGAGTGTTAGGTGTCACCATTGCTCATTTTATCCTGTGCAGTGTGTGATAGAGGAAAACAACTGATGCAGCATCTGGGATGCATCATAACGTCCTGACCAAAAGACGACTGCGAGGTGTGTGTGTACCATCACGTTGGTGTAACCCAGAGGAAAACACAAGTGAAAATTATCAGTGAAAAACATGGAGGGTGCTTTTGCGTGTGCAGCCTTCACAGGGCGCTGTGTATTTATTTACATTTATTTGGTTCATTCTTGTGCGCCCCTACGGTTTTTGCGCACACTGCACCGCAGCCAGTTCGGAGCATATTTATGTAGCCGACTGGTCCAAAATGGCCCATGACCATTGTGACATACACAAATATAATGTAGACTGATCCTGGCATGACGGGTTTAAAGGTATACTATGCAGGATTTCCCTAAAAACTCCCTCTCAATCATCGCTTACGATCCACTCTCAGTATGTGACGGTGTATTTTTCTGCCCTCTGTGACCAGGTGCCAGGCATCAAAGAGATACAGCCCCGAAAAATCGCAAATCTAGCGAGGCGAAACACCAAACAAGATATAACTGCAGCACAACACATATTTTACCTGCTGCCTGAGTGGATATTTTGGGTGAAGCAGGTGCAAAGACTTCCTGTTATATATCATTATTATATATTAAACTGACCGCCTCTGGTTTCCAAACTCTCCAGCCACTGATGCTACAGTTTAGAGAGCTGTCAATGCACCTAACACTTACTTTGATGCTGAATTCATTCATCCAACTACATTACCCAGAATTCCAAAGGAATGACAATCACTAGGCAATCAAAACACCTTTAATGCTCAAAATACTACTACTGGTTGGGTAGTTGTCTATGAGCATTAAAAACTAGAAAACCCTTTTTTAAATCATTAGTTCCTTTTTTAATTTTGTATGCACTTTTTTTTAACATGTAGTCCAGGATGTTAATTTTATGACAACATGCAGCAGGTCTCAAAATGCTATGCATGGAAATATCATTTTGAGACAATTATATTTAAACATTTAAACATTTTACTTCCATGTCACGTGGCTCACTGGGGCCATCAGTGGGCATAGAGAAAAATATTTTACGTTTGGATCATCCTCCAACACGTCAAACTAAATTGTGATTTAAAGTTTGATTGAAGTGGTCATGGCTGTCATAATCTAAAGGCCCAAACACACTAAACCAACATCGAAGAACTAGTGGTGACGAAGGCCAGTTGTTGCCTCACATCACCTGTGTATCAGCCAAAAAGTCACACTCAAAGAGTACAGCCAACAGCCAGCTAGCATGTACGTTCTGCATCTGTGTGGGAGGAATAGCAGCAGCAGCAAACGTCTCCAACTTCTATTTCTCCTTTCATGCACTGACATCAATTCAACTTGCTGAATGTCAATTGGTGCCAATGGTGCAGGACACACTGTTACAACTAGGGCAACAGGCGCTCAGTGACGGCCTAACATTGACCAACGACTGACTGTTGGCTCCCTGTGTCAGGGCCCTAAAACAGTAACCTGACTCACAGTTTACTGGCCAGTTTGCCTTCAGCTGAGAGGCTCAGTCGGCATTCAGTGGATATCAACCAACAAAAACAGATTTAGGCTTGAAAGTTACATTCCTGCAAAGCCACTGCTCAAAACGCATATTGAGACAGGAGTTCCTGCCTCAGGAGCATCTCATTTTAAAACCATGGCTTCATCCCTTTGTCAATTGATAAATAGCCCGTTTAAACCTTTGTTGAAGTGGAAATAGACAACTTTTGTTCAACAGTCAACTTATCCTCCCGGCCAGTGTTTTGAAGTAATATTATTGTTGCTGTCACAATAACAATGCAGTCGCTAAAGTTAGAAGCCAGAAATAGACATAGATGTTTCTTTTTTTCTAGGGGAAAAAAATGAACAAATCTTATTGGTCCTGGCTTCATGGCTCATTTTCTAGCTCCTAGTGTCAGCAACATGGCTCTAGCAGCCTCGCTAATGTCCAATGCAAGAAACATTAAGAATACCAATTTACCAAAACAAGCAAACAAAAAAAAAACCCTGATCTTAGTGCTACAATAAAGGCAGAGTAAAATGGTGCGTTCCATCTGGACTAGGAATTTGGAATTTCAAAGTTCGCAGTCGTAAATGTCAACTGGAACACCCACTAAAGTTGGCTTTCCAATGCGGAAAGTCACCAACCCAACCTCAAAATCCAAGATGGATGCTCTGTGCATCAACAGTAATGAAAGCTGTATTGATTTACTGTTAATTCGCACCTCTGTCTAAAAAAAAAGTCATACACAGTTCTGTCCGACCGTCATCTGTGGAAATGTTGCTACAGTGTTTGTGTGTGCAGAATACAGCATAATGCGTTGTTATCAACTGGTATTGCTTACACTGGCTAACCTAGCTTGAACTGTGATTACTGTGAACTCGGGTGTGACATTATTCCCAGCTCCGACCTCCGACTTCCAAGATAAAGAGAACGCAGTATAACACCTGGTACCTTACTGAGCTAGTAGGAAGAATGAAAACTGTCGGTTGTGAACCCTCTCACCCCTGCTACAGAGAAGACACTATGTGAACACTCCCATAACTGTGACTGGTCAGACTGGTCATGCTGGAGCCCATGAAGACCTCTGCTCCTCACATCATAGGATGATCCAAAATAAATAATAAATAAAATAAATAAAATAATTCAGATTTAGTTTTAGTGCACTGAAAGTAAAATGATACGAGATAGAGTATTTCAATTGCACCTTATTATTTAATGATGCACCTACGTAGGGAGTCTGCTGTGTCCAGCATCCGTCGTGAAGTGAAGACGAAGAATGACTGAACTGTTCTTTTAACATGCCTTGTACATTAAAAGACATTGTTTTTATAATAAAGACACACAGCAATGTATAATGTATCCTCTTGAATTAATCATGTATGCCTTGTATTAGCATAACTAAAGATGACAATAGAAATATTTGTTTTTCAGTGCCTACGAGAAATGTGTAGTGGCTGCAGTTCGTTTCTAGCTCACAGGTCATAACTGTATAAGATGAAGAAATGTTCCAACCTCTAGATAAGAGTTGGGGCAGGTTCGGGCTTCACTAAGAAAAGACCATTTTAAATATTTAATAGATAAAAATAAAAAAAGATTAATGTTTTTCATTTACCTTCTGGTTGTATCACGGTGGTTAAAGTGAGAAACCCTTTGACTTCAGTTCAGAAACATGTTGGTGGGTCAGAACCAAAATGCATTAACAAAATGTACTTTTATGTAATCAAGAATGTCAATAAACTACTGTCACGCAGTCTGTAGACTGATTTATTTGACCTCAGTGTGTGTGTTTGTGAACATGTATGAAGTATGTTGTGGGGAACCTTGTTTACACAGTCACTTGTGGGGACTTGCGTACTTCCCTTTTCTGTCATTTTACACTTTTACTCCTTTGCATTTCAGATGGAAATACTCGACTTTTTAGTTCATGACAGTTACCTGAAAGCTGTGGTTACTCTTAGTTTTCAGATTATGATTTTATAATGAAAAATATATCATGCACAGTATTAAGTAAAACAACCCAATGTTATATGAAGTAGTGAAGTAGTCAGCAGCATTAAAATACCACTTACACTTAATACATCAGTAGTAATAATTGGATAATAAAACACTGTTATGGGGATCATTCTGCCACATATGAAATATTGTATTTTTGACACATTTAAAACATTTTGCTGATGATATGTCTGCATTTTTTAAGGTAAAATTATGAATGCAGGATTTATTGTTTTTTCTTCTTTCACCACTGTTTACTGGCCACATGTGGGTGCTGTAGTTCAAAGATTTGAATTAACTATGGTCCTGAAAAATTGGATCACAGTTTTCATTTCTCTCAGAAAACAACCACCTCTTGCAAAGCAGAAATACAGTTGGCATTTAGGAAACAATTGCAGCTGACTCAGCGTGTTTCATAGTAACTCCTGACATTTGGGCAGTTCCAAAGAAACTGACAGTTTGGCTTTTTTAAAAGAAGATGGCATTTCTACATTAAAAATTAAAATGATTATATAAATATATACGTATATGTATACAAAACATCTTCTGCCTGTTGCTGTTGAAACAGCGCTATGTGAATTTAAGTATATAGATAAAGGCTTACAATCCTGCGAGACTTGTGTCTGTTGAGATGCTGATTGGGTCTGCAGCACATATTCATATAACATCCTGTTATGAAGACTGACTTACCCTAGGTGCACAACCTAATGCATTGACGGATTGGCTGACCGGAAGTCATTCATTCCAATGGAGGTGAAAATGACTGATAGTAACGGACTTTTGTGCAGCAATAAGCATAAGCTTTTTTTCCACTATTAAAAGTGATTGTTGACCATAGGTTGATTTCTATGCGGTTGATAATTAATCTATATTTTTGAATTTTGTGCTCATGTCCATAGCCCATTTCACGCCTATATATCAGCTCTTTCAATAGTACACTACTCAACTCATCTCAGTTCAGTTGGTACAGTGACTTTGCTAACAGCTAGCCACCCGCATCTGGCCAGGTCCATCAACGACGAAACCTTGCGGCGTTGTTCTGGGGGTGGGGAATGCGTTGGGGAAACACTCTGTTAAAACAGGAAAAATAGGTTGTGCACCCAGCGTAAGAACTACAATTCAAAGGGCTGCCACCACTCTTTATGTGCAGTTTTGTTTTGTCAATGTAAAAGTCTTGTAAACATTGATGGGAGGGGTGAACAGGGTTTGCTGTTTACAGTTAACACAAGGAATGGTGAAAATGCAGGAGGATGGAATATTAAAGCTGTGCTAAATTGTTGTCTCTCTCTCTTTTAGTGCCCCCACCCTCACATCTCTCTCCTTGGTCCCTTTCCTTTTTAGGTACCACCTATGCCAGTATAGCAGACCCCTGATGGTCTGAGAATGTAGTTTCTTTCAGGGGTCAATATAGACAGGTATGCAGATCCAAGTTCATTTTCTGATCTGGAGCCCCTCTCTACACTGCCATCTGAAACTGCTAAAAGACACCACTACAAAAAGGATTCATATGAAATATAATAGTAATGTGATTTGCCTTTGGTAAGGTCAAGGTTTGGTTAGTTTTTGGTGTAAGAAAGGATTTTGGTGTAGGTTTAAAAACCATACAGTTAAACATGCAAAACAGATGTTGGCATTGACTGTGTTTACAAGGTCTTTAGTATCCCGGTTTTGAGGCTTATCCCGGCTTTGAGCATATCCGGGATATGATGTTTACATGGAACACAGAGAAACCTGGTTATTCATATCCCTGTATACATGATAAATACCAGTAACCTGTTTTCTGATCACTGTTTCCTATCTGCGTAGGCGTGTGTTACGTCTTTTACTTCTTTTGTTTACATCAGATTGAGCGGGAAATGTGATATATTTATTATATTTACAAGTAAGACAAAAATGAGACCTCTGTGGCTTCTAGCGGGCTTAGCGTTAGTAAATACTCACGTTGCATTACAGCTATGGCTCATCCACTTCATCTTCAGCAGTGGGAGGAGAGAGTGACAACAAATATTGAATACGTCACCAACTTTGAGGTATTCGGCTGTTACTGCCACCGCACAATACAAGGCAACAGTGGATGAAAAGACGTAGCCGTGACTGGTGGGAGAGGATCGTTCTCATGGAGTTTACAGATTCAGAGTGGAGAGAAAACTTCAGAATGAGTAGGGCATCCTTCAGCCGGCTGTGTGACGTAGGTTGAATGGTTGAACCATTCATGAAACCGGGATAAGGTGTATACATGCTCCAGTATCCCGGCTTCTATCAGAGTACTCCATGTGGCAAAACCGGGTTTCTTGAAACCGGGAAAAGGGCATAACCCGGTTTCTGAATTCGGGATATGGTGTTTACATGCACAAACACAAAAACGGGATACTTAAAAAATCCAATCAAAACCGGGACACTAAAGACCTTGTAAACACAGTCATTGACATATCATCAAATTTTAGGATTCTATGTTAAACTTACACACTTGCTTGTTTCCACAACCAGCAGTTAAAAGAGAAACATGATCATTCATTTAGAATGGTGTTTGTGTCCACTTGATGGATGTAAAGTCCAATAGTTCTAGTTCAACAGTCGGTCTTTACCAACTTTTGAGGGAAACATCTGTCTCTTTAGCTGCCCAGTGCTCCACTATGTTCATCTGCTTGTCTCTGTCTGTCTGCTGTTTGGTACTGAGCAGGTACTGCATAGTGGGTTTTTACAGACTTCATCCTGAAAACATCTGCCTGCTGCAGACAATAATGCTATGACAGAAGCGAGGGTCAAACTGAGCAGTGTTCTGAAAGCTCCTTGTGAAATAAGTATCTGTTGATATGCTGACTGCACCACACATGTACATGCAACATCCTGTACATGCAACATCCTGTACATGCAACTGAGACTAAGAACTGCAATTCAAAGGGCTGTGCACTTTTTTTTTTTAAATAAATTTCAAAGAACTGGTGACAGTTCTTGTAAAAGCTGATGGGCGAGGTGAACAGGGTTTCCTGTTTACAGTTAAAAGAATACTCCCACATCGTCGGAGTATTCTTTTAACTGTAAACAGGGTTTCCTGTTTACAGTTAAAAGAATACTCTGACGATGTGGGAGTTATGCCCTTTCTCAATCATTTTCATATTGAGACAACATGATCGATATCTTTTTTGTGTCTGTACGTCCAGTGGCTGGTTTGGTTTGAATGAAAACACAAGAAGTAAAAATGTAATGAGAAAAAAAAGGCAAAATAAAGAGGGTCAAACACAGTTTAGCCAAATGCTGAAACAGTCTGCTGAGGTTGTTTTTGGAAATACTTTGACAAAGTTCAGGTTTAACTGTAGGTTCTGACTGCACCAGTGCCGCTGACCTTAGAGCACAGCAAAATGAGGAGAAAACAGCAGCTGACTGCTGAAGAAGCAGACAGTTTGCAGATTGAACATAAAAAATAAATCTATATTTGTCTTCATAGTTTCTCTTTGTGTCTGAAAATATTTTATTTTTTCTATTTTTGCACTGAAGTTCAATCGTGTTTTTCCCATTCATTCATTCCTTTTTTTGTAATAATGTGTGAAACCTAATTTTAAAAACTTACATTTAAAACATTTTGATCATTTTGACATGACACAATTCCTACATCTACCCTTAGGTATGTTTATTGATGCAGAGCATTGATGCAGCTTTTTTTCTAAATTTCTTTTTAGATTTAATCTATGAGTCTTCCCACTGTAGCAGAACCTAAAACACTGTGTTCAATACACTTTGACGTCAGCAGGGTTTTATGTGTGGTTTTTTTGCACGAGGTCTTTATTTAAGGAACTGTTGCAGACAGACTTAGCGTTACTTCCTCAGCTCAACAGTAGAACTGCTCTTCACTTCTTAACTCAGCTATGGCCAGCAATTATGTCCAAAATGGTAAGTGAATAAACTGAAATCAAAATGTTGTTTATAACTTGTATCTAAATATATATTTCTAGATGTATATTTCTAAATATATATTTCCAGATGTATGTACGCATTACAGGCCAAAGTAATGCGCAGGTCTCAATGGTAGCAAAGGGAATGACTGCAAGATAAAAACACCCATTCTGTTAAAGAGTTTCGATTTCACTAACTAGTCGTTTAATTTATTACACATTATTAAAAAGTGATCGCTGTATTCTGTAGTCACCCACACCAAATCAGTGCACAGCAGGCAACTGGCTAATGGCTGACCGTGCTATCAAGGAAACCCAGGGGCCGTTGTGTGCTTAAGAAGAAGTTAATTTTGATAATAATAATAATAATAATAATAATAATAATATGCTTTATTTATATAGCATCTTCCATTCAAATAATGCAGCACAAAGTGCTTTACAGTAAGGGCAGCATAAGCACTGAGTGCTTCACATGAAAATAGACTGAATGAACATAAAGCAGAACTGAAGAACAGAATTGTAAAACTATAAATCATTAAATCAAGTTAGATTTTAAAAGAGCTGCAATAGCATGAAGCATAAACAGGAAGTAAAAGTGTGAATGTAGTCGTGAGAAAAAAGCTTAGTGTGGCAGCTGGATTTCTCTCAAACCCTGCAAATTGCACATCAAAATTAAGCTTACAACCTTTAGTTTTTTGCTGTATGTGTTAATTTTCTTCCATTAAGGAAAATAAATATTCTAAAAACTCTAATAAAAAATGCCTTTTACCCTGTGTTTCAGTCAATATTCATCTGTTTTAGATGTAACATGCTGTATGTATCAGCCATAGGTTTCATGGAATTTTGACTTAGCATCAACTCACACCCTACCAAGTGTTTAAAAGTTATTTAAACAAACAGCAACAAGGTGGTGTTGGGGTTCAGACAGTTCGTAAACCTTAGTTTAGCTACATATAATGAGAGAGAGTGAGAGAGAGAGAGAGAGAGAGAGAGAGAGAGAATTAACTGATTTAATTTGATGCATTGAAGGCAAAATAAATGCTGGTGAATATTCGGTTAGAAAACACAACATTTTCCCAATTTAATAATAATAATAATCATAATAATAATAATAATAATTGTATTTGTAATTGTAATTGTATTTTGATGCTTTAGCTACATTGTTCTTGAAACTTCGTGCCAATGAAGCTCTGTAAATTAGATGCTTTATGGAAGAATGTTCTTTTTTGTATAAATAACATTTGCTGTACTTCAGCCAGGTCCATGTCATTGGTTCGACAGCCCATTGGTTCGACATCCCATTAGTCCAACTGTCCGCGGTGCTGAACGGCTCGCGGGGGGCGTATGGTGCGCCGCGACCGGCTTGAGGTGGAGCAGGCTCACGGCTTATGTGTTTGTCACTTTCTTTTTCATTTTAACCCACACCATGATCTTTTCCTGACCCTAACCAAGTGGTTTTTGTGCCTAAACCTAACCAGACCTTAACCACAGGGCATCATGATGATTTCAGAACGGACTTCGGAATAATGAGTTTAATATGGTCGGAACAATGGGATGTCGAACCAATGGGCTGTTGAACCAATGGGCAGTTCCCCTTCAGCCATGCTGTGTGCCATCGTTTGTTATTTGGGTAACACTTTACAATAAGGTACACAAAATTAAAGTAGTTACTGAGGAACTAATGAGGAACTAATGAGTAGTTACTGAGGAACTACAGTACACAAAATTAGAGTAGTTACTGATGAGCTAATGAGGAACTAATGAGGAACGAATGAGGAACTAATGAGGAACTAATGAGGAACGAATGAGTAGTTACTGAAGAACTAAGCTACACAAAATAAGAGTAGTTACTGAGGAACGAATGAGGAACGAATGATGAACTAATGAGTAGTTACTGAGGAACTAAGGTACATAAAATTAGAGTAGTTACTGAGGAACTAATGAGGAACTAATGATGAACTAACTATTAGTTAATGGTCAGTTCTTCAGTAACCCCTGATCAAATTTCAGAGGAGTAGTTACTGAGGAACTAATGAGAAGCTAACTATTAGTTAATGGTCAGTTCTTCAGTAACCCCTGATCAAATTTCAGAGGAGTAGCTACTGAGGAACTAATGAGGAACTAACTATTGGTTAATGGTCAGTTCTTCATTAACTCATGATCAAATTTCACAGAGGGGTTAATCACGACTTAATAATTAGTGAACTAGTTACTTCATCAGTACAGAATCATTACTCAATAACCCGTCCATTAGTTAACCTTTTTATGTCCTAAAGTAAAGTGACACATAATAAGTAGTCTTTCATTACATTATCATCATCTTTACAATTAGTTCATTAACAAATAAAATCACAGACAGCAGGATTCTTGAGAAGAGTTTAATTAATTATTTTCAGACCACATACACATTAATATGACCATCCATGTTATTCTGTACAAGGTGCTGACACACCAAACCGACATCAAAGAACTAGCGGCAACGAAAGCCAACTGCATCGTCTACATCGCCTCACGTCACCCCGTGTCAGTTGCATTTGAACACACTACAAAGACTACACCCAACGCTTGAAACTGTTACTCATTTATTTTGGCACTGCCCCATTGTCAAAAGACTCTGGAGTGATATTTGTAATTTTATTGCTAACAACATTAAAAAATAATTTAAGCTGTTTTGGAGGGATGTGCTGTTTGGACTTTTTGACTTTAACAGAAATACGGCAAAACCCATTGAAAGATTTATAATTAATCTCATCTTACTTTTGGCAAGATTTCACATTCACAAATGTAAGTTTACACATAGAAAACATTTTATATTTTTAATATTTTCTTGTAAACTCTTATCTCCCCTGGCATATGTGATATATGACATATATGTGTAATGTTGAAGATCTGCATTCTGTAAACTTCCTGTCTTAAAGTTGTGGGGGAAAAAAAGAAGACTACATCCGACGGCCAAGTAGCGTGTACGTTCTGCGCCTGCGTGAAAGGAAATAACGCAAAAAGGGAAACCGGAAGTCCGTTGAATGCATGAGATCAGAGATATTGGATGAAGGGAGATACCCAACTGTAGGCTTATCCAATGTTATAAAACGGTTACTCTTCCTGTCTCCTAAGTGGGCGTGGTTAGCTCTCCCTCCAATCAGAGCCTGTTCTCCCTCAACCCCCAGGTTGAGGGAAAACAGGCTTAATCAATGGCTGCAGAGAGATCTGTCTTTGAGGGGCCGTGTGCTCCTATTCAAGGCTGAGGGAATTTCACGTCTTATTTATGCTGCCTCTTCTCTGGCTCTGGACAGTAAAACAATCAAAAAAATTGATCAAATGTTGTTTAACTTCTTGTGGAAGAATAGAAAACATTACATCCAAAAATCTGTCGTAATCAATACCAGAAAGAATGGAGGGCTTGATTTTTTGGACTTTGGATCATTACACCATGTATTTAAGATTAATTGGTTAAAAAGTTTTTTTAAAAATGATTCATCTTTATGGAACTTTATCCCCAAATTTGTATTTAACCAAATTGGCGGACTTCCCTATTTGTTAGTGTGCAATTACCAGATTAATAAAATACCTCTAAAATTGTCATGAGTTCCATAAACAGGTCTTACTTGCATGGAAAATAATCTACAAACACAATTTCTCCCCTCAGAAGTATTATCTATGGAACAACGGAGACATTTTACACAACAAAAAGAGCCTCTTCCTTAGAAACTGGTTTGAAAGAGATATTCATACAGTCGCTCAGTTGCTGAGTCCAGATTGCCTATTAATGTCCTATGTGGAGTTTATACAAAAGTTTGGTTTTCCGGTTACAGTAAAAGAATTTTACCAGGTAATTGATTCCATTCCTACAGGTGTTGTAAACTTGTACAGAGGCTCCTTTCAGCTGTGTACTGTCTCCGTTGTAAATCCGCTTAACACTGTCTGTGGCAAAGTCTGTTTTGGATCACACAAAAGCAACAATAGAGCTATTCTGGAACTTTTTATGAATGAAATCTCAACGAAATCTTATATCACCACCTACTGGGCTAAATTTAACATCAATATACCTTGGACCAAGGTTTGGTTGTTACCACACAAATATATGATCACTAACAAAGTCAAAGAAGTGTCTTATAAAATATTACATAAAATTTACCCAGTAAAGCATTTCATGCAGAAATTTAAGAATGATATTGATGTCAATTGTTCCTTTTGCTCGGTACAACCCAAAACAGTTAACCACATATTCTGGCATTGTAACTACACAAAAAGGTTATGGAAA